GTTCTTGTAGGTTAATGCAAACTCGATCTAGAGCAGCTTTACCATCTGAAAAAGGGCTTTGCCATTTGAAAATGCTGGAAGTCCCCAAGCAAGTATGAACATGGTACAGCTGAGAGTGTTTAAATCTGGTGGGAATACTGCTTCTAAATCATCTTAGCTGCTACTAAAGGGGCTAACCACCCAAAGAAGTGCATGTTATAAATACACAAGTACTCTCTAGACTCAAAATGGAGCAAGCACTTTGGTCCCACATTCTGTCTTCGGAGCTGCCATTTTATCCATGCTCTAAAAAGGGTATTTTGTGTTCTTGTTCTGTTGCAGGCACTGTCAAAGAGAGGTTTTACAAGCCTCTTTATAAAAGAGACAGGAGCTTTCAGATTGCACAGATTAGATTTGTAAAATGAGGAGGATTGTTTTTCTCCAAAATGTTAAACTGGTTTAAGTATTTTCTTGATTTCCTTAGTTACACCTAAAGTCACACTTTTGTGACTCTACTCATAAATTGCAATTCAAACAATGAGGTACAAAGACTAATTTTTGAACTTGGTTATTGTCATTCTTGATTTTTGCCATTTTTCAATAAATAGAAATAAGATATAAGTCAATAAGACTATATTGATTTTTAAAAGCTTTTTTGGATGTATTTGCAATTTTTAACATAATTTTAACTATAATTTTATTCTGAGAATGTCCAAAGCACTAATACAGATACCTGAAGGTTTTTTCCTTGTATGGTGAGTATTTTCATGGGAGAAGATATTTAAAAGAAAAGACTCTTTTCTGCCCTAGCTATCAGTGCAATTTTGCAAAGCAAAACATAAAATGGGCATTCTAACCATAGTAATGACCACTGCTTTTCAGAGGACTGGTTTTCTCACTGAATAAGTATAATTGTTTGACAGTAATTTATCTGCTGCAATCATTTAGATTTTTGTATTAAAATAAGAGGGCGGAAGATCAGATAATCTGCTTGTCAAAGTAGAGTATAATTTGGTAATTTAAGAAATAAAAATCTAGGTCTGTTCTCTATGGCTATTAAAGATTTCAGGGCAGCCCTGAGAGCTATTTTCATTCCTAATCATAAATGCCAGTTCACAGATACTTCAAGCATATCTCTTTGCCCCACTTTATAAAGTGCTTTGGGGGATCTTTCAGGATAGGGGTGGTTTTGTTCTGCTGTTTAAAATACTTGATCCAGTGTCTGTTGAAACTATACTGAGTGCAGTGGCCACTGGATGATTCCATAGAGGCCTTTGGCATAGTGTCAGAGCAATAGTGACCCGTTGAATGTGCAGAAGAGGGCACAGTAATTCATGTACTAGATTTTGCTTATTTTAGGAGTCTGACCATGCTGATTTAAGTACTGCCATTGTAGAAGTGGAAGCTTCTAGCATCTTTCTTGGGTATCAACTCATTCTGCTGGTACGGAAGAGTTTAGGTGGCAACCGCTTTATTACATGCAAAGATTTTGCATGTAACAATTTGGGAAATGTAAATTTGCATGTAACAATTTGGGAAATGTAAATTTGGGAAATTGTTTTTCATCTTTCAGTTCATTTCTACTAATCCTCAAAGTAATGCTGTATTATTACTATGTTCAGAAACCACAAAAGCAAGGTGAATCATTTATTACTTGTTATAGTCAGCATCTTCTATTGCTTAATTAAAACAAGACACACTAATTTCAAAACCAATCATTTGGCCATAAGCACATATTTGAATGGCTATAGCTATAATAACGATAGGCGCCAAAATTTTGCTCATATGCTCTGACAGTTTATTTTAGGAAGCCTAGTCCAACATGATGGACCTTGAATACATGAATAATTGCAAGGAAGGAAATTTTATGATGTCTGTTGGTTAATACAGAAGCCAATCTTATTAATCGTGGATTTACAGAGGGCTGTTTTATTAGATGTTAACCATAGCTTATGTTGACAATTGATTTTCATTGTAGGACAACTAAATTTGTTATTTGTAATGAGATAAAGATAATTAAATTGACTTTATAAAGGTTACTATCATAAATGTTAGGTAGTATCTGTGAAGAGGGGGTTTATATCTACTGCTGTTAAAAAAAAAAAAAAAAAAAAGTGTGTTGAAGCCTTGCTTTGAATTTATTTTCTTTTCCATAAAACCGAATGAAAACATTTTTAAAGTCTCAGATATAAAACAAAACAGGCAAGAGCTCTGTCCTTTGATTTTTCTTTTTTGTCACTATTTTTTTTAAAGAAGTATGTTGAAAAAGTTGTTGGGTCTTCAGCCAAATCTGACCTTGAGATCTTAAGTATGTAAAAAAGCTTGATTTAGGCCTTGTAAAAATCAGAGCGCACAGAGATTTAGTATCTTGTAATTGTACTGTTTTATGATGCATAAATCTTTACCTCTCAATGCTGTCTGTCTGTACACAAATGTTAGGAATACAATGAATGCTAGAAAAAAATGAAAAGCACCCTGAAATAATTATTTCTAAGCTTAGTGACTGTACAATCCTAAGCTTTCATAACATGGGGACCATCCAATATGCATGCAAATTCTATCAGAACACTAGCAGTATATTTTTACTGTAACGTTAATCTTTGGTTTCTAGCACTACTTTGCCACAGTATTACAGATCGGAAACCTGTCACAGTCTCTGCTATTCTGGAGCAGCCCTCAAAGGAAAGGGTTAGGACATTTTAGGAAGAATGCTTTTGACTGTGGAGTAAGAACGAACATTTGAGCAGTTACTTTTTGATAAAGAACTGCATTTGGCTGCAGGTGACCTGTACTAATTATCTGCATCTGAGCAAGTGTGAGTAGTTCTTGCGCGGTTTGCAGTTTGTGTAGCTCGAAGGTTTAGCTGGAAGACAAGCGACCAACAGGTCTCAGGAGATGCAGCTGATCAGGGCGGTTGTGCTGCCAGGGATGAGTGCGAGTGGGCAGTGCTGGCACCCCAGGGCTGCTGACTTGTACCGAGGGCCAACGGGCACCGTGGCCTCCTGCCCTTGGCCGCGTTGGAGCCTGGTCCGTGGGGTGTCCTCCTGAGCCACTGCTGTTGGGATGCCAGGAGCCCTGCTTGTTTCTGGCTGTCAGCTACGTGGGGAACCTGCAAACATCGTGCTCTGAACTTGGATGCTACAGGTGGGTGGATGAATCTGGGCTGTGCTGTGTCCTTCTCTGCAACTAGTTTAACTCGCAGGGAATTCTGGTGACGGATAGACATCCTTTGAGTATTCCCATTATATTTTTTTTCATGTAAAAGGTATTTATTGAAATGTAAAATACAGGCGCCTTGGCTGAGTTTTGGCTCTTCACAGCTACCTCACACTGTATTGTTATCCACCTTCAGATAATTAAAAATAGCACCTTTTGATTCTCCCAGTGTGTATTTGAAGCCATTGCAAGAATCTGATATGTCTGGTTTTAATATATAACTTAATCTGCACAGAACTAAGCCAAAGCAGACTCGTTCGTCGGACAGTTTCCATTTCAATTAAGTATTTACTTTAAAGGAAAGGCCATGATCCTGTTCAAAGACATGATTTCCCCCTCTCTCCCCTGCTGTCATTAGTCAGATAAGAGGAAGAGACAGTCAGATAACTGACACTTATTTAGATTTCACTGAAGCTTTCAGGCAGAAGTGGGAATGCCAGCTGGAGCCAAATCAATTCATTTGAATGATTTGCTGATTATCTCTGTTAGTTATTCCTGATTATCTTGCCCACTGTCCATGACTAATTCTTTTGCCTTTGGGCTTAGGTTAGCTGTTTATTTTAGCCTGTCATTTCTAGGAAATATTCTGAATTATGAGCAGTGCACCTCAGCCTATAGAGACACAAGAATACTCAGCACTGGGAAGAGTGAGGACCAGGAGGCTAATAACTGCTCAGTAGAAAGAAGAATGGTCTGTGTTTTTCACAGTGGCATCTTAGCTTAAAACAGAACTGATAAAATGGTCTTTGAGAGTTCCTTGCAGGACTGGCTTGAACATTTGGATCACTGCTTTTGTTTCATTATTAATAGCCCTAAAGATGCTGGTATTGAAGGTACTATATGATGGAGCTGGAGTAGCAGATGGCTAAGGCTTTGGAAAATTCTCGAAAATCCAAGGAAGTAGCTAGTACTTCAGGGCTTCTGGCTGCAAAGGAAAAAATAAGCATTTCCTTCTCTTGCATTTCCATCAACTCTAGCGTGGTGAGCCCCTAGCCAGCAAAGGGCTTCATTTCTGGCTTTTAGCTCTGTGCTTTGTAACAAACAGTGTAGATAAATGTGTACAGTGTTCTCTAAAAATAAAACACTTGGTACTTATTCCCTGCGGTTCCTGAGTGAATGAATGTATGTAAGCAGGGCAGTTAGCACGTGGTCTGAGCGAATGCAGGAAAAGGAGGAAAATGATGCTGTTCCCAAAATGAAATTTTCACATTCTCAGTGATGCACAAAAACCTCCATGGCAAAGTAAGAGCAGTAAAATCAGCCTCTATTTTGCAGCTAGGAATGAAGAAATAATATCAGCATGAGCTGTTCGTAAGGGCCAGGTTTCTCTTCTGGGCTGGGGGGCAGCAGAGTGAGAGCAGTGGCTTTGGGACCTTGCCAGCCATCCATCATCTTTCTGTGTGCGTTTTGCTCTTCAGTTAGGACAAATTGAGGAGTTTGAGGAGAGATTGATAAACCAGTGATCACAGAGCAAAGTCAACAAGGAGAGATGGCACCGTGGTGGCCATGGGACGTTTGTTCAGCAGCGCTTCAGGGAGGGGAGGCAGCCCCAAGTGCGGAGGCAACTTTCACAGTACAGATAAGTTTTCTTTTTGCCATCAGTCTCTAAGTTTTCTTTTTGCCATGGAGTCAATACAACCTGCATTATCTGCAAAATCAAGCCGTTGGCTGGATGAAGAAGCCTTGCACTCCTAAAGCCTTATGCCTCCTTTAACTAGCTCGCTGCTATGAGCTGCCTGTATTAGCCACAGCTGGATCAGATCTGACAAAAGGAAAGAGGAATTTGGAGAAACCAGAGTCAATCAATGTCCAGGCGAAAAAGTTATTATTTAAGCCTGCAGGCATCTGTTGATATCTGTGGGTATCAATACCAAAAGGGGGACATCAAAGCTGGCCCTGCTCTAGAGGCTAAGTCGGATCCCTCAGCTCTGTTTCATGTTCCCACCAGCAACTGGTAGAGGCTCCTGAGATGAATGGTTGAGAAAGAGGCACCAATAGACAAATCCTCCTCTGCTTCCAGAAGGGTAAGGGCTTCCTGAGCCAAACGCTGCAAGCTGGCCCTGTTTAATAGCCCCCTGCATACCTGTCCTCCATTAATTTGTCTTCTCTCTTCTTGAACCCATTTGTACTTTTGGCATCCGCAGCTTCCCATGGCAACAAGTTCCCCCATTTAATTACGCGCTGTGTGAAAAACTACTTCCTCTTGTTTGCTTTAAACCTGCTAAAGCTGAATCACAGGATGCAAGACGGAATTGCAGGGGGAGGCTGCGAGGGGAGGGAATGCACAAGGGCCATGGAAAATCAGCCTCAGCCCGGGGAGCTGGAACGTGGCTGTTTTTGTTTTACTGTGACTGCTGGCATGGAGTTAGTTAGGATTTCCTAGTGTTCTTCTCCTGGCCATAAATAAGCCAATTTACCTGATTAGCACAAGGAGTTAGAAAGCAGGCTGGGCTTGCTGCAGCAGTGCCTGTATTTGTATAAAAAGTGGGTTCTGTGGTGTTGCTGCCCTGGTAGGGTGAGAGACATCCCAGCTGCAGCAGGAGATCCGCGGTGGCACTGGGGTTTGCCAGGGGGCGATGGTGACAAGTACCCGTTACAAGTACCTGGGGAAGAGCGCACGGCTGTTCTGGGAAGCGGCGGGCGCCTGGAAGACGAGTGTGCACAGGCACCGCGCTACCGAGAAGGCGGCTCCGGGGAAGCGCTGCCGCCCGTGACGCTGCTTGGAAGAGCCGCTTGTGAGAAAAGGTGTGACGGGCTGGCGGGGTCCTCACTAACGGACGCGTGCAGAGCGTGGTGACACAACCTCTGCCTTGGTGCTTACGGTGTAAACCTGCAGGAACAAGGGGAAGGGGGTTAATGTGGCATGGGAAGGTGTCATAAGCAGTGAGGAGCTTCACAGGAAGAGTGATAATATTTTGTTATCTGCCAAACATCTGCCTTGGGCATGTGTGTCCCGCGTCCCCACCCATTTGCCAGGAGTCCCAGCTGCAAACGCTGCCCATGGCAAGAGGGCAGGGAAAGGGACAAGGGCCGAGGGCCTCTGCCCTGCTGCGAGGGGCCCCTCGGCCTGGTGGAAAGGCCGGGCTGAAGCCATCGCGCCGCCGCTCCCGGAGCGCACGCGGGGGCCTGCGCCGCGCGGCAGGGCTGCTGCACAGCATCGCGGCCTGCCGCTGCTCCCGCCGCTGCCGCTGCTCCCGCCGCTTTGGGCCACTCTGCAGTTTATCTAGAGCATCCTGGCTCTGTAGGAATTCACTTTGTTGCTGATACACACAGAGCTTGGAGGAAGCTGTGGTGCTCTCTGTCAAGCCAGCCACTTTATCTAGAGCACACACTTATCCTGGCTAACTGATTTTAATGTGCGTTCTTACTGTTTAATATTTTACAGGTGTCAGGTGAGTACTATGATGGTTTTGTAAAGAGCAAGGCCATGTCTCCCAGTAACTTCTGTCCTGATTTGAAAGGTGACATCATTTAGGAGAGAGGAGGGGTGGGGGCGAGAAAAAGGCAGTTTGGCAGCAGAACTGAAGAGATGCAGTGCATTGATTTAGGCAGCCGGGTCTTCCCAGGCTGTCAGATGGTCCCTCAACTAAGGAAAAATACAAATCTTTTCAGCCTTTACTTGTAATGGGTTAGATATTGTTAAGTAATCCTCAAGTTTTAATTTTCATTAAATTTTAAAGATTGCTGAAACTATCAACTTGCTTGTCGGATTGTGTGCATTGAAAGCACAAAGCTATACAGAGGGCAGTGGCGGGTAAGCTGTGGATAGAAACTGATCTTCTCGAAGCAATATGTATTTATTCCAGTTCATTTCTAGCACATGTTGGTAATATTATACAAGGGATCTTTTTTGTTCTCCATTAAGCCCCTTATGATCTGGTAGTAAGTGGGTCTTTTCCACAACCTATAGTGTCTGTGAAGACTCTGCACCAGGGAGCAACCTGCCCTCTGCATCTTCTCACCAGGTGCTCTGTGTATCCAGTGAGCCTGCACACGTTTGAAAAGCTCTGTGGTTGCTCAGACTCAGGCTGTTCCTTGGCATGCAAAGAGCCACATGAGTTGGCACTCAACCCACACGTGCAAGATCTCTCCTTGCTCATTGTGTAAAGGACCCTGCCACCCTTGCTGGCTCAAGGCACTGGGAGGGACGTGCTGCCCTGGAAAGAGTTCTGTGTGTGGGTGCCCACCCAGCACTGTGATCCCTTTCCAAGCATTTCCTCCAGCCTCTGAATTATTCTGCTGATGCAGCAGCTGAACCAAGCTGTGTACAAGCAGCTAGGAGGGGTGTAACACTAACAACGCTAGATCACTTGGTGTGACTTCAGCCCCTACATTAAGTCCTGCTGCCTCTGCAGTGGCTGTGTTATCTCCTAGCTGGTTGCTGGGGACACTATTCAGCCACCTATTTGCACCTACTTTTTATACCGTTTTTGCTGTAGTGCTTTAAAGCAAGCACTTTAGCATAAATGTATACTGTGGCTAGAGATCTAAATTTGGGTTAGCATCTGCATCAGGTTTGGTTCTGAGGTCATGGTTTGCGTTCAAGGAAACATCTGGGCTACGGTTTGGATGCTGCAGCAGCACAACGCCTGTGTTGGCACCTATGACTTAAGGCCCCAACGCTGGAATGAGGTAAGATTATGATGAGATAAGCTAGGAAAGGAAAGAAAAAGACCAACTGTTCTGAAAAGTTAGTCCAACCCAACCCTCAAAATATTAAGAAAGTATGGTTTTTTTATATGCAAGGTCTGACATACAAATTTTTATCATCATGTTTGTTTTCATGCCAAGTATGGCTTGTGTTTACCAAGAGAATGTCAGTCCCATTTCTGGTGTGGACTGTGTTGTCCTGGTGTGAAGATACTCCTTTCCATTCAGGAGTGCAAGGCGCCTTGGTGCCAGCCTCGTTTCAGCCCTGCGAGGAGGGCTGCTCGCTCGGGTTACACGAGCGCTGCCGGAGGTGCCGTGACCTGCGTCGCTGATGCACGGGGGCAGAGTGAGGCAGCACTGCAACTCAACTGGGACACATTTCCCAGGCATTCTCTCCAGAAGAAAAATAATAAAAGCGCAAAAGGTAATGAAACAAACTGAGCGCGAAGGTGAAACCCTGCAGCTTTGCAAAGGCATCTCCCTTGCTTCAAAGGCAGCTGAGAGCTGGACAGCGACTCACCTTGCCCAGGGTTGTTGCTGGAGAGGGTGAATGAAACCAGACACAGCAAAGATGCAGCCAGCGTGCTCACCTGCACCTTCTGCTTGCCCTAATGTCATTTTAGGTGTCCAGTAGCGAGTACAGAGCTGATGCAGGCCTCTGTATATTTTCCAAAGTATTAAAATAACTTTCCAGGTTACATGTCCATTGCTCCTATCTCCTCCTCCTCGACTTGGAGCTGTGAGCCTTTGCCTGGACTGGGGAATGTCTCCTTTCTTTACTCTTCTCCAAAGCAGGTGTGTTTCTTCCCTGTCCCCTGATAACAAGTCCAGGGCCCAAACACAGTGTCTGGTAGTGCTGGAGAAGTAACCAGCTGCTGCTTCCTGATGTCGGAGTGTGTGAGGAGCAAGGGCTGGATTTGCTGCTCCGGGAGCCACGGTGCCCTCCTGAGATCCCATTGCTCAGCAGCAGGCCTAGTCGGAGAGGTCTTCCTCCTAGTACTAGCGTTGCTGGCAGTCGGTGCCACCAAGCTGCTGCAGCCAGCAGCATCCTCTGCACTGTCATTCCACAGGGCAGTAACTCTTAGCCAAAGTAGCAGGATCTATGTGCACTGGTGTAACAAACTCCCCTGTGCTAGGTGACCTGGGGCTGTCCATGGCCCTGTGCAGCACAGGGAGACCCCAGCTCCACCTGGGAGCTGGAAGGGAGACTTCTGCCTTAAGGAAAAATGCAGCTTGCTTTTATTGCTGCTATTTAATATTGCACTTTATAAGATGTTTCCATCTCAAGGCATGCTCTGTCCTTCTGCTTATGAAAATCATCAGCTTTAGTGGACTCCAAGACCATTACACAAGATCTGAATTGGTCTCGGAGGCAATTCCTCTCCTAGTCTTCCTGTGCCAAATCTACCCAAGTGTTTTGGCTCCTGCTCATGGAAACAAAGCCTTTGAAGAGCTTCTGGACCTTTGCATCTAGCAATCTATTTTTCAAATGAGGACAAATTTCAGATCCATCCCTCTAACCCCTCTGTTAAACAGCCATTAATAGTTAGCTAGATTGTTATTGTAAGCTTCTGTATTTGCCTATTAGCAACAACTGCATGTGCGTATCGGCTCCAGATAAAATAAACCTACCTAGGGATTGATTTTATGATGCCAAAAATGATAAAGTTTGTTTAAAAAAAAAGAAAAAAGTAGAGAGAATGTGTAAGCTCTGGAAAACATTAACAAAAACAACCAAGTAACACTCCCTATTCATACCAAATTCTTATTGACATCAAATTTAGCTCTGTGTACTTTGGACCTACTGAAACTGCTACAGGGAAAAATCTTGCTGCACAAGTCCTGTTCGGAGAGTACAATATTTGGTATTCTGATTATTCTGTAAGGGGGAAAAAAAATGTTTTGTCATCACCGTAGTTTGAGCAGATTCTCCATTGTCTGGTATCTTGTTATAGTCATTTATATCAACACAGAGTGGGTGTACAGTAGCCAACTGTCTGTGTTAGCAGCATTTTATATTCAGTTTGCACTTACGTAAAGGATTGTGCAAGATGTGAGAGAGAATGTAGCCTCTGGGACTTATATGTATTTTTGGGTGCAATCTTTATTTGCGTAGCCAACACACAAGAATATAGAGAAGTTTTAACATGTTACAGTTGCTATCACCCCAAATAAATATAATTAGCCAAGCCCTTGTAGTTGCACATATAGGCAAGATTCAAAATAGTGCTTGTTTTGTGGTAGCAGATATATAGAAAATACAAGCCCGTAAGGAGCAATATATTGCTTTTTTCTTAAGCAGTTAGTGACAATTCCTCTTACTTGTTCACCATATTTTCATAATGGCCAGATAAGAAACTGTTTAGGACAAGGAAGGATTAGGAAGGGAAGGTTTTAAAATATTAAAACCTCAGTAATACCGTGAGATGATCACCAAGAGAGATTAAAAAAAAAAAAAAAAAAGAAAAGCTTCAGCTGAATTTTGACACTTTTCAGCTAAAATAGAGCAGTTGGCATCATGGCGGTGCCTGGGGTAGCACACCTACTTTAGCACTGTAGAAAGCTGTTTTGGGCTGCGTTTGCAATACAGGGCCATGTGTTCCTTCCTTTCACCGCAGAGCCATAAATGCTGCGTATCCCTCTCCGCAGCCAGGACGTCCCAGAAGAGAGATTAACCCCGCGAGTACAGGGGGGCTAGAGGAAGCGGAGGCGCCTCACGGGGACCTTCCCTGAGCATCTGGCATGTGTTGGCTTGGAAATCTTTGGCAGAAGTTAAACACACAGTTAATAGTTTTTCTTTTCCTCTCCTTTTCTCGGAGGTGGTGACAACGTATAGGAAACGGGCACTCAGGGTGATGCTTGTGGCTCTTGTCCCCAGAAATGCATTGCCAAGGAAGGAGAGCCCTTCAGCTCACCCAGGAGCCACATCAGGCCACATGTGGCCTAAACACTGCAAGACGGTGGGATCTGGGAGCCAGCCCCCGGCAGAGGAGCAAAGGCAACCCCACAAGGCAGCCCCTGGCTGACTTTCTGCTGGACTCTTCCCCTCCTGTACGGCACCCTTG